AATAATTTTTAAGTTGTGAATTACTCATATGCTCAATATTTATGAATAACCTTAGATCCTAAATTATATGAGAAGTTTGTTTACAAGCATTTATTCCATCACATTTCCCTGATTACATTATTCAATAGTTTACCTAGATTATTGACCAAAACTGTAACAGTCCTTCTGTAAGTTCCTTCCCTGTTATCCATTTTTATAGCTGTGAATTTTAGGTATTTCCTTACATAGGAAACCTAAAGTTAAATATGAGAATTTTTACAAATAATTTAGGATTTAGTTGCTTTCATTGAAAGGATATTCCGTGTCTGTCTTGTCTAAAATTACACAAGCAAAGATCATTTGTCTTGGTCTGGGTTTTATAATTTTATAACCCTATGACTAATTTTATATTATTCTGTAGGATTAAGTATGGAATTACTTGATCAATAAACACAAAACAAAAATGCTAACCATTTTTATGACATTTCTAATCTTACTTTACCCATAATTTTAAAGCCAGCTTATTTATTAAATATTTTACTTAAGTGAACTTAAAAAAGCGTTTATGTAGTCTTTTATTTGATTAAGTATCTGATTTATGTGCTTTTATTTTTAAGCCAATTAGAGCTCTTGTATATATTTTTAATAGTGAAACATTGTGTACACAACACATAAACACATAGATGTATTAGGCATGCCAATAGATGTACATCTTATAGATTCATAAGATCCTATTTTTCCTGTCTTAGGCTTTCAAATTCTTGATAATCTGTTTTACTACCTTAGGTAGCTGTCAACTAAATAGCTTTACTTTGCATATCAAAGGAAACAACTCATAGGTGAAAATCAGATAGGAAACTTACATCTAAGGAACACAGAGAAAAAGTCTGTTCTGCTAGAGAGAAATTAAAATGGATACAATTGCTACATAACATAAAATTATAGAAATTACAAAGGCCTTTTAAATATATACATGCACATATTTGCACAGAAAAAAAATTTCTGTAGCTTTTGCTTGAGAACGTTAGGAATAGATAACACTGACTTGCAAAAAACAAAACAAAACAAAATAAAAAAAACTCCTGTTATATCCAAATAGTGCTTTTTATCTCAGTCATAAAGTAACAGCTGATTTAAAGCAGGCAGAAAAGAGAGAAAAAGAGACCTTGAGAAATCTATAATTTGCAGGTTGACCTTAGGGCTTCTTTTTTTTTAAAATGTAAACGTGCTCAAAGACTATGTTACTTCCATTTTACATAAAGTCTGTCTAGTAGAGGTGTCATAAAATCTAGAAAGTGCTTGAAAGTGGGTCATTCTCCTTGTTTTCTCCTAAATTTTAGATTATTTGTTTCTCACTTTTTTTTAAGGAGGAATTGAACTGTGGACTAGAGCTTTTGTGGAGTGGGTCAAAGAGTGCTGCTTGTGGGCGGGACTCCAGAGTGTGTCACCACTGTGTCACTGCTGCCCTCTTACATGTCTCTATTTTTCTCTCCAGAAGTGTAAGCACCTCAAGTTTTTTAAGAGAACAATACTTGCAAATATTGAAACAATAGAAACTGTTGCTGAAAAATGTAGTATGTTGTACAAGTTCTAGTTTTATTTATGCTGCTCTGACACTTACAATTTCTTCTGCATTGTTTGGCATGTGGGTAGAAATTCCAACCCTTTCTTCGAATCCCTGCCTTCTTCAAGAGTTTTTTGTTTTTGTCTCACAGTCCATGTCCCCTAATTCTAACTTCCAAAAAAAATATTTGTCTCCATCCACCCCTGGAGTTGACAAAACAGGGATCTTCATGCCAGGTTTCTCAATGAGCCATTACACAGATTTAGCAGGGAAATGGGGATAGTATCAAAGACACCTTGTAGAAACCACTGGATGACCCCAGCTTTTGTCTCTGCCCATGAACAGCTCCCGGGCAGAAAGTTAGGCAGCCCTGCTATTGTATCCTGCAGAAAACTCTTGAGAGTTTGTTCCTAAAGCCTACCAAAGTGGGAATAGGAATTCATCTCATGACATCCCACTTTTTATTCAAGTGAGTAATTGCGTTATGACACAGAGAAGGACACAACTTTGCTCCCCTTACTATAGCCTAGCACATAAAGCACCAGCAAACTTAAACACCCTAAATTCTCAGTCACCATGCAAGCCCTTTTATATCAGATTCAATGGACTTTTCCACAAGCAAAATGAATGTTCTGACCAGGGAGCATCCTCTGCTTTGACTCTAGGGCTTGGATATGCATTGTGCTTCAACAAACCTCAGTACTGAATCCAAACATCAAGGAGAAGTGGTACCAGGAAATATACTGAGATGACGTTGAGCTTTTACCAAACTGCACAATCACAAAATCATAGACTTTACTGAGGCCAATTAAATGGGCTAATTCATGGGTGAAAGTGACACATCATAATGTTTAAAAATCTGCCCAACTGTTTTTACGTTAAAGCCAGGTTTATCCTGTGTGAAGATGAGGAGACACCAATTCAAGCTCATGACAATCTGGAAGGAGAGGCAGAGGCTGTGTCCAGGCAGGCCTCAGATTATTTTTACTTTAACCTATTTAATTAAATATGTAATGTTCTCCAAATTTTAGATGTCATTTGCTGTAATCCTGACCCACTAAGATGTACTATTTGTGCTGTAAAATTGTATTGTATTTGAAAAATGCACAGTGGCAGATCTTTGGCACTAAAGCATCACACAGAATGCTTCTCTTATTGAAGCTCCTCTTTCCTCCACATACAGGGAATCAATAGACTATATGGTCTTTGGACTTTGCTTCTTTATTTCCATCCTCTTTCAAAAAAAAAAGAAAGAAAGAAAGAAAGAAAGAAAGAAAGAAAGAAAGAGAGAGAGAGAGAAAGAAAAGAAAAAAAAGAAAAAAGATATCGTGCTCCATTTGCATTTGATCTTCCAAAAGGAAGGTACTGATAAAACCAGAATTTCAGTGATTGAGACGCAGGTCAACCGCTAAACCGTGAAGGCCAAGAGTCCCGCGCTGCAAGCCCATAGCCGGCAGAGGGCACTGGAACCCGCTTTCTGGTCGTGCAGGGCGCATGCGCATTCTGCTTGCGGAGGCGGGGCCAGATCTCCAGGGAAGAGGGAACTTCCCTTCCTCAGGCCAGGGAGGAGGAGGCGCTCCCCTGGCTTTGGGGCAAATCGGGCTGCGTCCATCTTAAGGAAAACGCTCGTGTCCACAGCCCTACCCGCTGAGGAGTGAGATTCCCTGCGCGTCTCCCGGATATTTTTCTGAAACAGCACAAAAGACTTCATTTTCTGGGCTGTTCCTACGTGTTTTCTTCTGCACTATCTCTGTTGGGATATATTAGCGAGAATTATTTTACAAATATACGTGTTCCTTAGGGATTTTCATTGATAACCATAGCAGGCTGTAATGTGTCTTCCTCGCAACTTCTATCAAGATTGATTATGAGGAGAAACACATGAAGAATTGTGAGGAAAATCTACAGAACACGGGGACCCTGCAGAGGAAGGAGTCTGGGGTCAGGGCACGGCTGTGCAGTCTCAGTGCAGCTCGCGAGGAAGGGGCCCCTGCAGGGAAACCCAGCTTTCTGCATCCCTGCATTTTCACATTGTGAGGGGCTCATCTTTCCTACAGTGCCAAAGTCACTGAAAAATAGTGAGACAATGAAAGGCAGGGGCACTAATACATCCTTAAATTGTTGCTATTAAAACGGCAAGAGCCACGTCTTTAATTTTACCATAGCACTGCAGATTTAAAAGTGATTTTCATTACATATGCAAGGGGAAAGGTACACTTTTGTGAAAAATAGTTTCCACCCCAAATGAAAACATATTGATTAAATATTTCTTCAAAAGTAAGTTACTATTCTGTGTTGCAGGATATATCCTGAGACTTTTATGGTGTAAATGTATTAAAACTTGCTTTGTTTATAATCAAAGCGATTATAAAGGTAGAGTATTTATTTGGCGAGTCCCTCATATTTTTGTTCGTGTACTGGTTTGCAGTCCATAGGTTTTCAGCTAGAAGAGACACACAGAAGCTCACAATGAGGGGCCTTTCTCTTTCTTGACTGTAAAATATACATACTCCAGAACCGTCAATAGAGGCTATTTCTTGAATATCTCAACCTGAACCCTGCAGCCAGAAAGAATGTAGGCAATTAATCCAATTTTATAACTACATCTGATCTTCAGCCAATTATCTGCTGCTCTCCTCAGAAATGATCAAAATCCCCAAAGCAGACAGTTCTCTGGATAAAGGCACTAATGTTCCCCTTGGAGGCCTTTAAGACACTGGCAAAATTAAAGGAATCTTCCTGTCTTCCTTTTATTCTTCTAAATGATTTATCTAACTAGAGAGGAAAGCTTCAGTCAAAAGGCATTTGCGAATTAGATTCATTTTTTTTTTTTAACATTTAAGGGAAACACGATCTATACCTCACCTAATAAAACTGACGAAATTATCAGCTAAATGAAAAGAGAATCCACAAACAATTTTATACAAGTTTCAGAGGGAGAATGAAGCCCTGAGCTCAGGGGCCTGTTAGAGATGGCATGCTCAGTAATGGTGCACCCTCAGAGATTCTCCTTCTAGTTCAATTCTGGTGATTACTGGATTACTGTTTTCCCCCAATACCATCTATTATTCTTTATGTTGCCAAATAATTTTTAATCTTAAAATGACTAATTCTGAGTTCAGGCATATGGTGTTCGGCCACCTGCAAGAAGTTTAGGTGACTTTGACCATAAAAACGATGGATTTGTAATTAATAAGTAATGTTGAAAGCAAAACTTGCCTTATAATTCTGAAATTAGTCCAGTGGGAATACAGGCAAGAAATAAATTAACAGACAGATTAATACACGATGATATATCAGAAATTAAGTAAAGGTTCTTTTTGTATTTTCCCCCGGTTGTCTTACAATACTCGCTTATTATGTTTGGACAACTTTCCCCAGGAGATTCGTTTTAAAACTTAATTCACTTAAAATACATATTATTTTATTATTTAAAAATACTGTTAGCCCTCCATATCTATAGGTTCCATCTTCATGGATTCAACTAATCTTGAATAGAAAATATTCACAAAATATTTGCACAAGTTTCTTCAAAGAAATCTTAAATTTTCCATGCACCACGTTCTTTTTGAGTTCACATAAGTGATGTGACATCTGGGCATTGCATTAGGTATTAAAAATAATCTAGAGATCATTTAAATTATATAAATTAATGTGAATGCGTTATATCTAAATTCTACAACATTTTATACAAGGGACTTGAGCATATACAATTTGTGGTATCTTCAAAGTTTTCTAGACCCAATCCTTTATGTTTACTGAGAAATGATGTACACATGAACTTTACAAAAAATAATTGTCCTACCCAATTAATGAACAGACTACAATAGAAAGTAAATATCACTAGTTTAAAATACTGTTATTTTATATCACAATTATATGGTGAATCAGAGTAGAGATCTTGAATTAATTTTGATTGAATTAGGCTAATTCTGACAGGGTGACACTCATATTGATTGAGTTTTGATAAAACCACTCCCATGCAGGCCCCTCGTGTTGTTTAATCAGCACCACTAGCCAATCACATTCATCCATTTTGACAAATCCCATGGCTCCACCTCTTATAAGACTCCTGGAGGATTTCCCCAAGATCTGACTCTACCAAAGCACCATTTGACTGGTCCCAGGCCAGGGCATGCTCTCCCATGCTCTGGCTGTGCTGTGCTAGGGGCTGATAATTTCCCTTCAGGTAAAGTAAAAGATCAAGGCGTAAACTGTATAGATTTACAGAAAATAGGCCAAAGATTGAGATTTTTTTGCCACAAGCAAGTCCAGAGACCATTTACTATGTATGGTTACCGGCGCCCAAGAAGCCCCAGGGATTTCCAGACAGAATGGCAGAATGACAATGAAGGAGAGACCAGGTATGTTGGAGTATGTGGCTACTCTGGGTTGTCAGGTTGACATGTGACTGTGTGTGACTATGTGTGTGCATGTGTGTGTGTGTGTGTGTGTGAATATATGCTAAAGGGCCAGACTAGGGCAGAGAAGACACCCTGGCCTGCCATGACCTTGAATGTTATAAATTTAGAACACATCGGGGAGATATGAGACCCACAGTGGAGACCACAGGATGCGGCCAGCATGGGGGGTTTCGGCAACCTGTTGGGGGCTCATCTCATGTTTCTTTTCACTGTTAATCTCTGTCCTCTGGGTAAATGGAAGTTGCCTCTTATGTGGAGACAGGTAAACTGTGGGCATGATCTAAATGTTTTCCTTGTGCTCACTAGAAAATGAAACATTTCCCATCATCTCTCACTCCATTCACACTGTAACTGCATAGACACAGAGGTTAGATACCTGAAAAATCAGCATCTTCTCCTAAAGTCCTCAGGCCAAATTAGATGTCCCTCCTTCTCATGTGGATGAGCTCCTGAAAAAGCAAACTGTTTCCTGTGATCACCATCTCTCATCACACACATGCACCAACAGGAAAAGCCTCTAGAAAAGGAGAGGGTGGGAGATGAGTGTTAGGACTTTCTGGATGCACATAGGATTTGGAGCTGAACACAAGTGCATGTGATTTTGGGCCACAGCAACAATGTGTGCCAGATGGCTAATGAAGTTTGGGGCTTGTGAGAATTAGACTTTGTGTCACTATGTGGAAGACTGTTGGGTCCCTTTCTGTCCTGCAGTTTGGCTACCACACAAATGAATCCACCCAAACGCCGCCAAGTGGAGCAGGGTCCCTGTACAGGTAAGGCACGTTCCCTAATATTTCTTAAGATCCCCATGCCTGGAGGTCAGTGTCATGGCTCATGACATAAATGGAGAAGGTGTTTTCTGCAGGGCGAGTGGAAAGCAATGCTGGATTGTTGTGGGCTGGTGTCCTGAGGCTAGCCAGTGCTGGGTTGTGGATTTCTGAAGGTCACGTTCTGAAATCCAGGAGACTCTTGCTGGAAGAGAGCCTTAGCCTCTCTTACTGTGGTCTCTCTGCAGGTGCAAAAATACTCTCAATTTCAGGAGCTCCACACCTGAATTCATGCCAGTCCCTGGAACCTCCCCAGGTAAGTTCCTATGTCCTTGTATGGCAAAGATTGGACAGTGCTGCACAATCTTCAGGCTCAAGTGATATCCAGTAGATGTACATTTAGGTGGGTCAGCATGAGAGCCAATTCTGGGAGGGAGTTTGTATTTTAAAGTTCTAAACGGTGAAGCTCCTGGCATCTCCCTCCCCATGATCATCATTTGCAGCCTTTTTGGAGGGCAGAATACTGAGGACTGTCTTTCCACAGGAGCGGCTGGATTCTGGCACTGAGGAGCTCATCATAGTCCTGGAACAAGGGACAGAAGTGAGGCTGAGCCTGGAAGAGGGCGTCCTCATCCTGGCCCCAGAAACAGCGCTGCAACTAACCCTGGAGAACATAGTCATTGTGATTGTCCCTGAGCATGTCCTGAGGTCACAAGATGGCCTGCAGTTCCCTGTGCAGATCCAGTACATCTTGCCTTCGGCTGATGATTTCACCTTGGAGTTCCATGTTCAAGATGGAGTCATCTCAGACATGAAAGGAGAGAATGTGCCTTTTTCACCTGCAGAAGATGGGGAGGCAGCACCCCTATATCACCAGCCCTTGATGATACCCCCAGCAAACCACAGGACTGGGACCAGTCCTTGTCTCCTAGTAACCCCATTGTGCATTCCACACTGTCTGGCAGCCTTCCCCCAACGCTACCCTCTACCACCCACACCTAGTCCTGTGGGATGCCCTAGACCTGCCGATTCCAGTTTCAGCCTGCATGCTATGGAGCTCTTGTGCACCTCGTCCCTCAGACCTATGCCCCCTTCACCAAGTCCTGATCCCCAGATCTATCGCAGGGTTCACCACAGGCCTCCCAGCAAGGCACGGAGATGTCTCTTTAGGAAGTGATTTAACCCAAGAGCCACCCCCTGCATTGATGGGTCAGAGATTGTCCAAGTCCTTAGTCAGTGCATTCCCTGAAATGTGGAGAGAGAGTAATTCCAGGGACCACTTTCTTCCCCTTTGCTGTTTCCCATCATCACCCACTGACTTCAACAGCAGAGGGTCCCAGATGCTGCAGGAACGGGGAGAGCTGCAGGGAGTTCAAACAAAACATTCACATTTCACTTCACACACACTATCCCTTAGAATTTCTCTTCTTATTTAACTACATGAATCCAACCACACTCAATCGAATCCCTGACTGCTCCGTGTGAGAGTTCTGCTTCCAGCATGACGTGGCCTGAAAATTCATCTGAAGACAGCTGCTCACTCCCAGGGTTAACACCTCCCCCTGAATACTGATGTCCTTGTAGTCATTGGTCTGATGCCACGATAAATAATTCCTAAGGCTGGTGCTCTATTTCTGTCCTCAGACTCTTCCCTTTTTCTCCAAGCTGTGCCCCATTCCTTGTCTTAGTCCAGGTTCCCTACACTCCCCAGGCCAATGCTTTTGAATAAATATCAACGTGATTGAATGAAGTAGTGGTGACTGCTGTGCTTGCTTCCAACTGAGACACTCTCCTGCTCTAACTCATCACGTTTCCATTCACATTTGCCTTTGTTTAGTTTTGTTTTCCATTGTTTGGGTTTATTATTCAAGTACTTATGAAATAACTGCCACATTTCTGAGAGCTTTCTTGGCAAATTTGGGCCTTTTCCTGTGCTCCTCCTTCCAAGTCCTGAGTGGAGTCACTGTTTACACCTCTGGGCCTGGGGATTGGTCTAGCTTAGCAAATGTTTGGACAGAGCTTGGCTCTGTGGATTGGGATTGGCACCTGCGCTTGCTCACAGATGCTCCCAGGCTCTTCCTGTCTAGGAAATCTAGCAGTACAAATCAAAAAGAATCTATGGAATCTTGTGATTATCTGAGGGTGAGTGTCACCCTGGGCCCCTGGTCTTTTTCTCCTCTAGGTCACCGTGGTTGATTTCCTTTCAGGTTCCTGTGTGTATGAGGGGATCGGGGAACCCCTCTTCTCTGCCTTCCTGGGGTCAGGGACTCCACGATCCTTCCATGTCCATTTGATTCCAGGTGAAGGCATCTGAAGATGCCGTATTTCCTGTTGCTTTCTTTCTGTGCAATGATGGCAAGCCTGCCAACAACATCTTCCTAGCGGTGTGAGGAAACTAGTCCCTCAGAGGCCCCAAACATCGAGGAGGCTAACTCCAGGAACATGCATGTTTTCAGAAAAGACGTCCTGGGAACCCTTGAGCCACCAGCCTGCCTTCAGAAGGGCATTAGTCCGTCCCACTTCATGAAAGGCTGAGTGGAGGCGCTTTGATCCAGTTAATGCCCAAGACACAGTCTTTAGAAAAATGGTATTCTTAGATCATAGCTCAAGAGTGCATTTTTCATGGGTCTTGTCCCGATCAGCACACACGTTGAGGATCTGTCCCTACTTCCAAGGACCGCCTGGCCATACCGTATTAAGAATTTCCTGCTGTGTGCACATTGTCTTTGGATGTGGTTGATTTCCATGTTGGCTTGATGCTGAGGAACTTCTAATGTGTGTGGTCTCCTTTCTTTCAGGTTGCAAGCAGGCCAATGCCGGTCCACACAACCAATAAGAGGCCACGCGTGGACCCTGCCCTCACTGATGGCTCAGCTACCAAAATGTCTGACACGGTATCCAACTTGGCTTCACTGTCTCCCCTCAGAAAAGCCAGTGCAAGCTCCTCGGCAAGTCTCCGACCAAAGGAACGACAGACAGGGGCAGTGGCCGACATCCCTCAGCCTGGAGTCAGGCAGCAGGGCCCGCAGCCTCTCGTCGTGGTGAAGCCGACACACAGCAGCCCTCAGGGTGGCTGCCCAGAAGCTCCCCAGGCTGCCTCCAAGCCCCACGGCCTGATCTGGGTCATCAGCCCCCAAGCACAAGACAAACGTCCTGCGGTGACCTCACAGCCCTGCTCACCAGCCGACACACACAACTTGGGCCTCGGCTCCAATCTCAGTTTCAGGCCAGGAGCCAAGAGACCTGCCCAGGCTCCGACTCAGGCTTGCCTGAACTTCCCCAAGAAACCGAGAATGGGTCCCTTCCAGATGCCCGAAAATGCCATCCAGGGAGGTGAGCTGGGGGCCACGGAGACTCTCCAACCTCCACCAGCTGCAACCGAACTCAGACCAAGTCCGTCACCCCAGATGAGCAGGAGGACACCCGACCAGGTGCCCAGCAATGACCAGCAGCCTCCGCACCGCAGACCTTGCCTGCCTACTGCCCAGGCCTGCACCATGTCCCATCACCCAGCGGCCAGCCACGATGGGGCCCAGCCTCTCAGAATGTTCTTCCAGAGACTGGAAAACGGATGGTGGAGCTCCAGCCTCCTGACAGCTCCCTCGTTCCCCTCTCCTGAGAAGCTGGGAGCCTTCCTGGCTCACAGCCCTCACGTCTCAGAGAAGTCTGAGGCTCCCTGTGTTCCTGTCCCCCTGAGTGTCCTCTATGAGGACCTTCAGGTTTCCTCCTCCTCAGAGGACAGCGATTCTGACCTAGAGTGAGACTGCAGGTGGCAGGGGCTCCGTGGCCTCCAGCTCCCGTGACTTGGAGGGACTGTGGGACTGCGGAGCACAGAGCAGAGAGCAGACTGTGTGTGGTGACTACCAAGCTCCCCAGCTGTGGTGCTTCTGTGGATGTTGGAGCCCAGGCCAGGCAGAGACCACATGCAGAGACTCTGCCTCATTGAATTCTGGTGAGGGACATTGTAGTTCTCAGGGCTGTCTGGAAACCCGCCACGAGAAGCTTCTGTGCCAGTGATTCGTTGCCTCAGAAACTGGGTGACGGTGACGCACAGGAGTCAGACTTCCGCTGTGATGTCAGTAGGAAACTGGGGAATGACTGTGTGTTTGCTCTCTAGATGACTGAATCAGGGAACAGTTAGGGAACCCTGAGAGATACAGGCCTTCAGCTGTGCCCTGCCCTGACAGCAGTGTTTTGGACGCTGTGAAGCTTTCTGCGCAAAGCGTTCTTGGGGTGTTTCCTCAGCCTCGAAAATTGGAATCTGGAATGCCATTGGAAATAGGTGTGTTTAATTGGTTTTCAAGTGAATAAAATTCTCAAAAAGATGACATACTCTCTTTTGACTTTCATTCCGTGTTTGTGTGGAACTGATTTTCCAAGGGCTTGAAAATTTCTTGACTTGTTAGCAATCCAAGTCATTATATTTCTGAAACAGAGTTGATTGAGGGGACCGCAGGACTCGGCAGGACTTTTGAATTCTTAAACATCCACAGGGGTAAGAGAACCTCAGCCCCACTCTACCAACACGCACCTAGTCAAATTCCGCCAAGTGAATCTCACGCACGCTAACACGTGGGGAGCGTCGCTTGCACCCCGAGTCCCCATTTGACTCACCGCGATGCCACGTGTGGGGTTCAAACTGTGACGGCCCCCATGAAGTGGTTTCCGGATGTGCGTATGAACGAGGCACAGTTTCATTCGCCAAGTAGAACCCAATAAAGCTGAAATAAACTCCCAGATTTGGGATGTACTTCAGAGGTAGAATATTCATCCCGTCTTCTTTCCGGATGCCTGAGCACCGGGCCTTTCCATGCTTCTCCCCCTGATCCTAAGAGTAGCTGAGGTCGAGACTCACTGAAAACTCTAGGCAAGGATACCCCATCATGGACAGGCTATCTCCGTTCTCTGACCTGGGAACAATTCTGACCAGGATTCCACATCTAAGAGGCCCCGGAACTGAGCGGGATTTTCTGAGCGACGCCAAATGGCTGCTCCCTTTCCGCCGCCATTGAGGGTCGTTACCTTGATTATCCAGATCACCTAGAAAGTATCAGTATCCAGAATCAACAAGATCAACTCTCTGCTCCTCTGACAGCAAAAGGAGCATGACCAAAATGAACCAAAGAGCGTGGCAGGAAACGATGTGACCGGAAAGCTCAGAGAACAGCCGCAGAGGGATGTAAGCAGGCGTTCCCACCCGGATCATGAATAATTAATGAAGCGCAAATCCAAGGGAAATCGAGTTTCAGCAGGTGCAACTCATCCAACGGGAGATCGCCGGAGGGCCAACAAGATTCAGCAACCGAGAGTCGGGTGTAGTGTCAAGTGGGACGTGACTGGTTCCAAAGCTCTAGAAGACCGTGGGATCACTTGGACCACGTGAGAAAATGCCCCCAATGTGCTGGTTCAGCATTCCGACTCCTGCCTGTCTCTTCCCGCCCAGGGAACGTGGACCCTAACTTGTGCAGGTGCAGATGACGAAGGGCAGAATGAGGGGACGTGGCACCAAAGTTCCCCGACAAGAGAGTTCCACAGAAAGCCCGCTGGATCTTCGCAAATCCAGAGAAATGGCAACGGGACCCAAGGAAATAGAGCCCCACCGGTGTCCTGGAGACTCTTCAGGCATAATGCCTGGAGCCGCAGGACGAGCTGAAAAAGCAGCCAGGCACCGAAGGACAAAGCGGTGTTGACTTTCTTCATCTGGGTTTCCCAGTGCAGTCCAATTCACGGTGGTTTCCAAGGGCCTCCTGGAGGAGAAAACACGTGAGGGTGTGGTAAGGGTTTTCTGCTGACACACTTACTGTGGGGGAAGAAGGAGAAGCTCTGAAGATGGATAACGGCTGAGATTGCATGTCAAGGTAAACCTCCTTGATGACACAGAGGCCTACGTTGAAATAGAGTAAATATGGTCCAATTACACTGTGTCTATTTTAGCACCTTATTTGAAAAAAAAATGTAAAACAAGACAGGAGTACATGCACCAGTGCTACATACCTGACGGGAAGCATCTATTCTTCAAAGCTTGCAGCTGTACACGTAGGTTTTAGAATGTCTGTCCATAGTGAACATCGTCTTAGAGTGGGCTGGGCAAATAGACCTTTCCAGGTCATGTAATTGGATTAAGTTGATTAGGTTAGGGTCCGTTTCGCGTCAGGGGTCCAGAGGCAGTATAAATGGCAGCCTGGAAAGCACAGGTCCCTCTCCGCCCCTTCCTCCGGCTTCCTGAAGGCTGCATCGCTTCCAGCAGGGCTGCTCCAGCACCTGCCCATCTGAGCGCCAGCGCACCTGTCCATCTGAGCGACAGCCCAGGAAAGAAAGTACACCTGTAATTTCAGGCTGCCATGACCACCCTGTTGTCTTCCTTCTGGGGTCCCTAGGAAGCTCCCAGGACTGAATGATCCCCACAAAACACAGTGGCCAGGATGGGAGGGCTGGAGGTCAACTACCCCCCGCCCCTAGCACCACAACCAAGAGTCCCCATGGAGGTTGGCTCTGAGCTGTGGGTCCCTGTGGGATGCAGGTTCCCACGGATACTTCAGGGGGTGAGCATGGGTCCTCCTGGCTGACGGGAGTCTGGTGGGCACTGGGTGTGTGGGGCTTGTGTAGGTGGGTTGGACAGCACTGGGCCTAGCCAGGGAGCCGGGGACTAGTGTGGCCAAAGTGGGCAGCAATATGTTGCCAGAACAAAAATACAGTGCAACCAGCCCAGCTGGTAGGGAGAAGGAGGCCTGCCTAGCAGGACCATCCACCCCTGTCCTGGCCCCAAGCCCAGACTGCCTGCCTGTACTGTACATTGCCTGGTCCAGGAGGCCTGGGCTTGAGGGTCAAGTGGTGTGTCCCTGGGTTCCAGACTTTGGTGGTCCCTTGGGAGCTGAGCATCCTCTGGACAGAAGGAAGACTCGCGGTCCACTGTTTGCATCGGCCCCTGGGGGTGTGCCCCCACCCCAGCTTCTCAGCCACACGGGGACATGGCCAGGGCTCCTCCCCTGCTCTGTGGCTCCAGCTCTGAACAGCTCACTGGTGACTCTGACAGCTTCCTCCACAAAGCTTGGGTCCTCATCTGTGGGAATGGGGTGTCCCAGGCCCCCTGCAGGCAGGAACCCACCCCCCGCTCTTCTGGTGGGCCCTCCCGGGCTTTCTTACCTACTGGCTTGTGAGACCCGGTTGGCCAAACTTGGTGTCCTATTTTTATTTTGGCCTTTTTCTTAGTGTGTGTTTTCTGTAACTACTGCTGTGTAGATCTTCTATTTGAGTTTTAGGTAGAGAATCTTGCCCACCCAGAGGGCACCCACCCGAGAGAGTCTCCACTTCGGCCCCCCCGGGCTGGTCCTGCCTGTGCTCCGCTTGGTGTGAATGTTGAGTGTGATGGATCCACACGGCTACTTGACCCTGCATCTCCTTCCTTCTTGTTGCTGAGGCCGGTTCTGTTCTCTCTTTCTCCACCTGAGCTGCACTTGAAGCCAAGATGAAGGATGAGAAGTGGTTGCTATGAAGGACCCTCCTGCAGCGAACCCGCTATGAGGAGGCTGCGCTGACCCAGCCTGTCATTTCCTTCTCTAAGCTCATTCCAGAGGTCGGCCAGGGGCAGCCCATACCTGCCTGCTCTTGTGGCCCGTGAATCAAGAATAGATTTTACATTTCCAAATGGTTGAACAAATAAAAAAACAACACTTCATGACACTGAGAAGGTTCCATGTCCATAAGTAAAGTTTTATGGGGGTGCAGTTATGCCCATCTCTTCACAGGCCACCTGCAGAAGGCTGCTGTGGTGTAGCCATGACAGAGTTGCATTCTTGAGGCAAAGATCAGTTGGCAAAGCTGAAAATACTGACTCTTGGCTCTTTAGGGAAACAGTTTCCAGTCCCTGGTTTGAGGGCTGTGTGGCAGAACCCCAGGATCTTGGTCAGCTTGTTCCTCACTCAGGGCCTGCTGTGGCCTTCGCTAGTATGTCTGCAAAGTCTGCGTGCTATGGTGCCTCTCATGGGGGCATTGAGCTCTGTCGTGCTAGATTTCAGGGTGTCTGCCTCATGGTCATCTGTCTCACCAACAGAGACCCTGTGGCCAGATTCAAACTAGCAGAACAGTTAGTCTTTGGCAGCAGGGGTACATTCGAGCTGAGCTGCCACCCGCCCTGAGGTGGTCCCATGACACCCAATGTCTGGGTCAAGGTTGGGGCAGGGCTGGTGTCCTGAACTGCCCTGCGATGTGGATTGTAATAGCCAGTGGGGAGAGGAGGTTGCTATTACTCCCCATATCGCAGGGAGTGCCTCACTCCCGTGCGATGTGGATCGTAATAGCCAATTACTCCCCCCTGCAATGTGTGTCCATTATTAGCAGTCTCTTTTATTCAGGATATTAGGAACAATTTCACAGGTTGTGTGTACACAGCCTGCGACAGGAGAACGAATACCATACTCTGCACCTTCGTGTATTAGCAACCATATCACACAATGGGTGTACACTTTTTGGGAGATTTGGGGTAATGTCGTCCTGTGTTTCCCTGAATATTCGGAGACATATCACAGGGGGGTTGTACACCCCCTACTGTCTTGGCAGGAACATCATACTTTACCTACTGGAAATTAGGAGCAATATCACAGACTGGGTGTCAAGCCACTGTCATACTGGAAGTAATATCATGCTCTCCCCCACAAGTTATGAGGAAAAATATCACAGGGGGGTGTGTACCTTCTCCAGTAGTGGGAGTAGTATCATCATCTCTTCCTTTAGATGACAGGAACAATGTCACAGGGTGGGTGTA